GCAAACTCAACTACAACTCCAAATAATACAATACAAATAATTGAAAACTTATTCAGCTCGTACTTTGCTGAATTAAATATGTGTATTTCTGAAAAGTAACAAAGATAAAACGTATAAACACTTAAAACAGATAAAACAGCTTCAGCCGTGTCTCACCTCCTTCTTTGTGGACTTGTTGAGACATTTTCTCACCACTGAAAATCGTCCCCTAAAAACAGACGTAGCCACGAACATGAGAGAATCTAAAAAGTTGAGTATCTTAAACAAATATAATCGTCTTTTTTTTTTCTTTTTCCCGTAACGTTTTTGACAGTTTACCTTCCGATCTCACAGATCTCAGAGAAGCTGGAGTCAAAGTTTTCCTTCCACTGGATTCCTGTTCCTTCGTATCCAGAGTCTGAACACAGGAGCAGGATTGAAGGATTAAACTTTTCTCACATGAACTCAACGTCTCAACGTGACGATACTTTGAAAATAAAAAGTTTGTAGATTAATTTCGATCTCATTAGCGAGCGATTTGACTACACCAGGTGTATAACAGCTAGCTGAGCTTCGTGTAAATAAGCCTGAGATGTTTTGGTCACACACTGTTGATAAAGTCCACTGGTTGTTTCTGTAGAAGTCTATGATGTCAGTAAATATTTTCTTCAGGAGTTCATGGTCTCAACCTCTGGTTTGGTTAATTGGATGCCATGTGATTGACAGCTAGAATCGTCCAATGGGTGAAGGTGTAGGTGTGGGTGGGCGTGTACTCGAGCTCTCAGTCATGCTCCGCCCCCTGCTCCTGCATATGTGGTTACTTGGCTCTGGACATAATGGTGACATCACGTTGGGCTGGCACCTGATTGGTCATTTCTTTCTTGAAAGATCCATGTTAGCCGTTTCCCGCTAAACAATTTAAAGTATCTGAAAATCTTTAGTGATGTTTCAGAAAGACTCCGTGCTCACGTCGTGAAAGAGAACGAGCTGCAGACTTACTGCTGCTGGGCAGCGTCACCATGTTGGAGGGCTCGGACGCCGGCCCCACCCCCCAGTGGTTGGAGGCTCGCACTCTGAACTGATAGTGACCGCCGGGGATCAGAGTGTCGATCTGAACGCACTCCTCCCTGCTGCTGGCCACCTGCTGCCATAGCAACGAGTCTGCAGGAGGAGAGTGAGAGGGATCAGTGCACGATGCTTATTGTACAAACACACACACACACAGACACACACACACAGACACACACACACCTTCCTGTCTGTACTCCACAGTGTAGCTACTGACAGCACAGTGGGCGGATGAAGCCGGCGGTGGCCAGTGGATCATCACCGCCGTGCTGCTGGCTTCCTGTGCCACCGGCCGCCCTGGGGCTGCTGGGATACCTGCAAGGAGGCGAGCAGACAAAAAAAATCTCTCAGTACCTTTAGAGTCGAGTCGCTGCTTCAAAATGGTGAAGTGTAACTTTAATCCATTACCTTGAACTTTAATGGAGGCAGAGGATGAGGCGGAGCCGTGGTCGTTAACGGCAACACAAGTGTAGATCCCCGTGTCCTGAGGCATCAGATTGCAGATCTTCAACAAGATGTCACCCGTGTCCCTGAGGAGAGGAGGAGGAGGAGGAGGAGGACGAAGGTGAAGGGATGGAGGACAAGATGAAGAAAAGGTGGAGAGCAGGAAGAAAGGAAGGAAGCAGGATGAGCAGGAATGCTGTTACCTGATGTCGATGGTGAAGCGGCTGTTGCTGGTCACTGGGTTCTGGTCGGGGCCCTTCAGGGTGACGGAGGGTTTGGGCCGTCCACAGACTTTGCAGCAGAGGACGACCGTCTCGCCAAACGCACACACCACGTCTGACAGAGGGACGAGGAACTCTGGAGCCACTGCACAGAAGAAACACACGCACATCAAAAACTACCGACGTGATTTCCATGAAACTTGGACGGATGGAAGGATGTGGTGTGGGTCAGGAGGCAGATCCAGGAAGCTCTTCCCACTTTATTCAACATTTTCTGAGAATAATTCATTGATCTTGATGAAAAAGAAATGCAACATATCCTGGGGACTGATATAAGTGACTGTTTGCACTGTTTTTTTTTTTTTCAAACTGAAGCTCAAACCTGACAAACACAAATATGTAACGTTCCAAACACGTGAACGTGATCTCATTCTCTCCCAGGAGACAACGATGTGAGTTTTAATCTGACTGGATCTTAGTACTTGAGCTGTGATTCCTCTCATGATGTGGAGTTCAGTGAGGTCAGCCGCACGCTGTAGTATTGTAATTATCAAAACAGTATATTGTATGTATCCTGAAGAACATATTAAAAACACGTGTGTCCTCCAGTGAGCTCTGCAGGTGGTAAGAATCCTGCAGGAGATCCCCCTCCCCCTTCTTTCTTCTCATGTTTCTTACCTTCCTGGATGAAGTTTGGGTTGAGAAGCTGGAAAACAGATGAAGTCAAAAGTTTTACTAGAAAGTTTCTAGTTGTGAATCCTGACAAAGTTACCAGAGCTCCTCTTAATAAACTAACAGAAGCATTTCATAAAAACCAAACACGCAATATAAGCAACTACTAATACTCATAAAGACTATAAGACGTAAAATAACTCAGAGGTCAGAAACATACTCAGGCGATTTATAAGAAAGTTAAATAATTGAGTTGAATGAAACACAACAGTAAAGTTTTCTCACTAAAAACTTTTATTTTCTGCTGTTTCAGACTTTTCCAGCGTCACAAACACAATGTGGGCGGAGTATCGTACCTCCATGCCGGTCTTTGGGACGAGGTCATCGTCACAGTCCGACTCATCTGACGTGTCCTGGTGGAGAACGAAGGAAGAGGAAGAGGAGGAGGAGGAATAAGAGACGTAAGTGAAGAATGGGAAGGAGTGAAGGCAGCAGAGAGGAGATTTGGGACAAGGAAGGAAGAAAGGAAGGAAGGAAGGAAGGAAGGAAGGAAGGACAGCAAATGAGACGAGAAAAATCAAAAGGAAGGAGATGAAAGAAGTAGAGAAATGAAGGCATGCAAGAGAAAATGAGGGCGTGAGATGAGAGGAGGTGTAGATAAGAAAAGTTCTGGATGTTGAGCTGATACTCACCTGAGCTGCTGTGGTTTGAATCTTTTTATTAACTTTAATAAATAAACTAACAGCAGCTGTTCACTTTGTCCTCTGCTTCTGTCTCCGACCTGCAACTCCTGAGTTTCACGAAGCAGCAACGAGCTGAGTGTTGAATTATTTTAGCTTCAGAGTCAGAGCAGCTCAGACGTGTGAATTTAGGCCTTAGAGGAACTTTGAACTTCCACTTCTGACAGGAAACACACTTTATCTTTATTTTGTTTAAGTTGTTTCAAATGCTTTTACTTAAATGTATTAAATTTGAAATAGAAAAATGAAACTCACTTAACACCTCTTACAGTTATTCATGTCGAAGTGATTTTGACCCTGGATGGTTGTTCAATAGCTTCATAACATGATGCAAACACAGAGAAGTCACAAACAAATAGTGTGTTTGTTCTACACTCGGCCAAAAGTTGGAAATCTGTTTCTTTGCACAGCTTCAGGATAAAACTTCAACATTTACTTCAAGGCTGAAAAAGATCGTCGTGTTCTTTCTTATGCACTTGAACGTTTCACTTTTTTTTACCTCAGGGAGTCACAGAAACATCACGTTAAGATTTTCATTTTCACTTTGTGGACGATGTTATGTCTAAAAACGTCACCGTGTTAGTTCACTACAAAATAAAACAGTTAACAAGATTCCCGAGCAAAACAAAACCCCCGGGGTTCTACTTCTACCCATCATGCACAGCGAGGGGAAAAAACCAAACAACACGAAAAACAAATCAGAGTTTATTTTTCACTCAGTGCAGTCGAAGGTTGTCAGGTGAAAAAAAATAAAGAAAATTAAAACCACTGCAGTGTTCTCAACCGGTTCATGTTTATATCTTTGTTTCTATGATCATGATCCCACTTTTCTCAATTCTCATGGTCCAACACCAGGTTTCTATAAAGCCTGAGGTCACAGCAGGATTCTAAATTCAACTGTGAGGTTTTTATCAGAGGACATGTACGGAGGCCCACGAGTGCTAATCACAATGCTAATCACAATGCAAAAGACACAACACATTAGCTGAGGCCCAATTTGTAGAACTTCGCTCTTGAATGTGACCAATTAAAGTTTTAGATCAACCTATCCCAGGATTCATTGTGTGCCGATGACCAAGCTAACAAGCTAGCTGTGATGCTAACGAAAAGCTTGCGTCTCATTTCAGTCCGCCTACTTCACGCCTCTAAGTATGACTCAGCGACCGACGGTAGAAGTCATGTTAACATCATGGCAACAAATGTCAGAATCCGCCATCGCCCACTTGTGTTTGGCTTCTGCATTGTTCCTCGCTTCTTGGATTTAAAGGCGAACTGGATTTTGTGCGTTGGATCAACAGTAACTCCGTCGCCTGCAGGTCGTCACCAGGCTTCACCATCACCATCGAGTCAGTGCTGAGTCTCTGGTTCTGGATCGGCTGCAGGGATCCAGAGAATTCACGACGTCCCTGAACTAAAACCGTCAGAGACTCGGGGATCGAACAAATAAATAAAACTTTCCTCGGAAATCTTTTGGTTGAGTGAACGTTCGTTTTAATTCACGCAGGTTGAGAACTGCTGCTGCTGCTGGGATCAAAATGAAAACCAAAAAAAAAAAACCAACTCACACACAAACAGTTTAAGATAAAAAATAAAAACCAGGTGGGGGGGGGGACTAGGTGAGGGGGTTTTGGCACACACATATGACATCACCAGCGTGCGCCGTCGACCTACGTTACTCACTTTGCCCTTTACCCCTGTGGCGGGGGAGGCGAGAGGGGGAGGGGGCGTGGTTTCTTTGGGCTTACGGAAGAGGCCGTTCTCGTGACCTCTGACCCCCGAGGTGGCTTCGGCGCGCTTCCTGGCGCGCAGCGTGTTCCACGACAGAGACTTCCTGTACGGTACAGGAACGAGAAACGTCAAGCAGCCAATCAGAGGGAAGCTCAGTGGCGTCCAGCTTAGTCTGGCTGCAGAGGCAACATAGCCGCCAGGTCACAACTTCCTGTTATGACCTCTGGTGCCATCTAGTGACTGGGGGGGGGGTGTTTGTGATTTAATGTCATGTGTCTGTCGCTATGGCAACAAGGCTTGATTTTCTAATGGAGAGATGATCATTAATGTATATTAAGTATAAACAGCATTTAAACAGTCAACATATAGTTTATATAACACTG